GCACTTTAAAATCACATCATAATCAAATAGGAACGAAATAGGGATGCAATCAACGCTATTCAAATGATTATGCACAATAATTAGCACAAAATAAACCTAAATATGAAGGGCAAATAACACCAATCTAGGTGTTATCACATGTGTTACAAGATGTACTTCACTGTACACCGTTTATCATATTGTTGAAATCGTGATGGCTTTTAATATTGGTTGTTCGTGTTAGTATGTGTTACAAGATTTTATTATTGAACATGTTCCAATAACTAGAGTTATTATAATTCATTAGTTCTTGACATGGTATTATAACCTTGTGTGATCGAGAGATTTTCTGATTAAATCCCAACGACCACATTCTCGGAATGTGCAAACTTCAAGCCTATATGAGTGGCTTGAGTTCGTGGGGGTGTGATAGTATGTGGTATAACATTCATTTTGAACATCTCAACAATTCAAGTTATTGGGACCAATTGAACTTGATAGTTCAAACAACAATGCAACAACATATCAAGAGGAAAAAACACGAATTGTTGTTCAATGTCGTTTAGAGTCCTCTGGTTTGAGTTTCAACCTCACCCCTGACCCGGCCTACCACGCTTCCCTACCGATTCTTGCATCCATGAATTTCTAAGCGGCTCCTAGGCATGGCTTCTCTACCGTCGAAAAAGTGTGGGAACACCTTCAACACTGCTTATAATCAAGGCGACTCGTTTTCCTTCTGTCTAGCACCTAGACGAACTTAGACAAGTTCCTAGGCGCGCTTTTTAGAATCATGGTATTTTTTTACCAATTAATAAGTTTAGTTGGTAATTTTTACATATTTGACCTAGTGGCTAGCTCCAAGTCTTGAGTACACGATTCTCACACTATGAAGGCCGCCTACAAGGTTGTCAAACCGGTTTATACCATTTTTTCAGTTGGATAAGTGGTATGGTTTGACTGGTGGTACAATTGGTTTATGTCAGTTCATGTCGGTTTTAGCAGAACATATAGGTAAGTAGAAAATCATTCACTAAGGCCCCGTTTTGATGAGGGTTTTCTGTGAGTGATTTTAACACAATCCCCCACAATAAGGAATTGTGTTAAAATCACTCGTTTGGGAAAGACATAATCGATGAGAGATTTTAATCATTAGAGATTTCCAAAACCCTTAAACATGGATTTTTAAAATAGCTGATAGCCATCAGCTATTTGAAATCTCTCATTTTTTAATTATTTTCCAATCATTATCCTTTCATTCTTTCTTTGATCTGCAGCTCACCAAACCCCCTCAATGTCGTCCGTCACCCCATATGTTGTTGCTTCCATCGCTGTCGTCGCCCTAGATGTTGTCGGTTCCGTCGCTGTCCATTACAATATTACATTCCCAAAAAAGCCCCACCACTCAATTGAAGTTCGTGAGCCCAAAATTTCCCATTAAGGCTTTCCCTGTCCCCTTCACCCAAAAATCCCCATTAGGCTTCCCCTGCCCCATAATTGCAGTTCATGACTGGTGACGCTTTCTTCTTCCCAAACCCAGCGACGAATGGTCGTTCTTTGGGATGGGTTATTTCTACGTTCAATCTCCATATTTCTTGACTAATTTTGAAGTGAGAAAGAACACGTTCATGGGAGGAGTAGAGAGGGATTCACGTGGCGCGTTTCCGGCGATGACTGTTGTCGTCGTTGATTCGCATCCTCCCTTCCCATATTCTTCAACGAGACGCGCCCTTCCAGGTTGAATCCTTTCTCTGGTTTCTTCTACTAATGGCAGCGGATCGACTGGTCGACGACAAGAGTGGACAAAGAGAACTAGATTGAGCGGATTGCTCTGTCTCTCACCCAAGATGCTTGCGACGGGGATATGACGAGCACCAAATCTGGGTTCGCTTGCTTGAACAACGAAGAACGCAATGAACAAAGAGAGGGAAAAACAGAAATTTTGCTTCTCTCATAAAAAACCCACCTCCAATTCCAAACGAGTTATTTGGTACTAATCCCGTATATAAATTTCCTGGGTTTTTTCAGTGCATTCAGTGCGCTCGCTTTATAATCGTCATTTTAAACATGCGGTTTATGTCAAAATGATTTCAATCATCACTTATGATGTGATCAATAATAACGCACATGAATTTGCACAAAAATCATTAAAGATTTACTTTAATTTCAAGGATTTCGAGTTTAGAGATTTAGGGTTAGAGTGAAGTAGTCACTTTATATATATATATATATATATATATATATATATATATATATATATATATATATATTTGAAGACAACCTCTCTAGAACTACATCTATATTTAAATAAAACACAACGTTCCAAATAAAATGAAAAATCTTCACATATTTCTACAACATTTAATGCCGACATTCAAACGTTTATACTTGAAATATAACAAATAACATAAACATCTAAACATTCATACTTGATATACACAAATAACATCAACATTTAACTTTCAAATTCAAGAAACAAAAAAATTGTTAATTAAATTTACCAAAATAGCGTCATTTTTCTTAAGGTTGGAAATCAATCATATCGGTCATACCAATGACATTCCAGCCGATTTTGTAAATGATACATGTATTACCAACCGGCATGCCACGGATTTGACAATCATTGTTACCTAACTTTTAAGAAATAAGAAGAGCAATGCAGTGATGCATTATACATGTAGGTATGGTTGCATACATTAATCATATTACCTTTTCCAAATTGCAAGCTTATGTGGGAAAGGCGTGGTGGAGTGAACAATTTGAGTACCTTTGTCATTCGTTTTCATTCCATCATATTGCTTCAACGGTAAACTGGCATCGCATGCCTGAGGGGCGAGGGCTGGCCCTCTCGCCAATTGATGGCACTTCACTGCATGTGTCTGTGTAACTGACTTACTGTACATTACATGGGTTTTAAAAAATCGAAATTGCAGAAGCATTCAAATGAAAATAAAACTCATATAGATCAATAGATCCCATCGAAAATCTTATAATAAAAAACTTCATCGTCTGAGGATTCTAGTTCATGCGATCTTTTTGTTAAATACAATGTCATCTCAAAATGAAATTTCTTCCAATAACTTATTGAAGAGACAATATTAGTTTTGAATTGATATAAACGGGTCGTTTGGATGCAGTATTTTGATGAGGTAATTTGGTCGAAATAACTCAGAATGAGGTATTTCAATCAAAATAACTCGTTTGGCAAAAATAAAGTAGAATGTAGTATTTTGTCCATGAGTCAATTGAAATAACTCATTGTGAGTTATTTGAAATACCTGATGGCAATGGGTCGGGTTTTGCCAAACCCAAACCCAAACTCGTGGGTTTATCCGTGAAACAAACCCGGGGTAAAACCCACTGGGTTTGAAAAACTCAAACCCAACCCAACCCGCTGGGTATCCGCGGGTTCATGGGTACCCACGGGTTTTTGTCGTAAAAAATTCACAATAACAAATTCCTATCAAAATTAAAGTCAAATATCAATCTCTCAATACAAATTATCCATTAATAAAACACCATTCTAGGAAATTCAAGCAGATCACAAATTAACTACACAAATTGTTCAACACCAATCTAGAAAAATCAAGAAAATTGAAGCAAATCACAAATTATCCATAAATAACATGATTAATCGAAAGCTTCTTCCTTTCAATTAAGTTTTTCACTCTCCACTCAATAACATCAACTTCATTCTACATAACTAGAAAGAAAAAATTAGACTTGTCTCCACAAACATAAATAAGATTAGTTGTTTAGATTATTAAACATGCCGAGAAAATTAATTATATGGGTGTGGGCGGGTACCCATGGGTCGGGTTTACCTAAACCCAAACCCAACCCAACCCGGTGAATAGTGAACGGGTTTAAACCCAAACCCGGCCCAAAATCCGTCAACACGGATTTTACCCGCGTTGACCGGATTGGCTCGGGTGGGTACCCATGGGTTCGGGTTTTGTTGCCATCCCTATACCCACCCCCTAGTTATTTCAAATACCTCATCTCCCAACTTCTTTTTCCACTTCATCCCTCCTTTAAGTGGTGAAATACCACAATATTTGAATGTTTTATCCAAACAAGGCAATTACACCAATTACCACATTTCAAAATGAAATACCACATGAAATGCCACATAGCAAAATAATGCATCATTTGGATTCGAAATACCACATGAAATACCACATGTTGTAATATTTTGATTTTTTTGAGTTTTTTTCATCATTTTTTTAATTAATAATTTATTATTAACTCTTATTTATAATATTTTTGAGGCCTATACTTACATTCATGTATGTAATATTTTATATTTTTGGAGATAAAGCAACAAAACGCAGCGTAGCACTAGGGAGTAGGGAGGGGGGATTCGGTATCGGTAATACCGATTTACCGTCGGTATTTACCGATACCGTGTCCGGTAAACCGACTCCCCCAACTTCCCGTTCGACTGCCGATACCGCCAGTAAACGGTTTACGGTTTACCGCCGGTTACCGGTTTGGTAAAACGATAAACCGTTTATCGGATTACCGTTTACCACCCCTAATCCAAACGACCCGAAAAACAAACTGGAATGATTGTTTTAGTATTTCTTATAAAAAATCACGCAAATCCTTTCATCATTTTGTCTCTCTCTGTCTCATGATGATTATGTACATCATCTTGGTAATCGAATGAGCTATGTCCCAAATTAAAGAAATCTCCACTACCAAAATGAAACTTTTTTCCCATGATTCCTGATGAATGATGATCACTTTTTGGATGATTCTTTTTTTTTTTACTGAACTTTTGGGATTATTATTCATCATGCCACAATTCCTTTCTAATTTGAAACAAACATTGTATAAACTACGAGAAATTATTAGGTACACCGGGAGAGTACCACGTGGGATTGGTGATATGATACTCCGACGAATCAAAGCATGTCATGTGTCCATCAATTTAATTAATGGTTAATTAATTGAATACTTACCATCTTTATTAATTTCACCCGCTAGTTCCCTCTCTTCCACGACCCCCCAATTCCAATCTACTCTGTTCTCTTCTTTTCCAGGAATTTAAACGGCAGCTCCTTCCAAGCACACCAACCGCGTCGCCAAACAATCGGCCGGGAATCCTCTCCAGCGCCAACAACGCCCAGCTCTCCACCACTGGCTGCGCTCTCCACCCTCGAAATCCAGAACGATTTGCATCCCCAATACCTGTCCCTCCCGCTACTTTGTTCAAAATCCAATCTGTTGATTGCATTAGTCCGGCTGAGCTGCATCATCTGTGGAGAGGCGGATTCCGGCCGGTTTCGTCATTCACAGAATTCCAGTTCCATCCCCACAAAACCCCAAATTTCTATGCGTCAATTTGTATTTTGCTGCAAGCTAAGACAAAAAATCTAATTTTCCCCATAAAAGTTTTTTCCTTTCCACTTTGCAGAGTTCTTCGAAGCTACAGTGTTTTGCAGAGTTTCATAGGGATACATAGATCCCATGAAATCCAAATAAAACAAACATTTCAAATTTCACTAGATCTGTTCATCACTTTAAAATAAACAGTTAAATATACAAGAAGAGAAACCTTGATTGAACTTATGTTCATATTCATATAAATCTGGAACTGGAAGCCAAAAAGAGGAGAGAGAGAGGATGAGGGAGGACAATGACTGACAGGAGTAGGAGAGTTTAAAAAGGGGAAAACAAAAAATGTAAAACACTGATGATTAAACGGCAGCGGCGAAGGAAAGACAAAAACGTTTATTGGTATTTTTCCACGTGTTGAAAACCCATTTGTGGGGAGTACCACGTCAGAGTTCTAGCGTGGTAGTCCCGGCGTATACAATAATTTCTCAAACTACAGAGGCTCCAACTATGCCGTCCAGCTCTCCCGCCGGCGCGCCGAAAGTGCATGCTAGACATTGGTTGGAGGGCCGAGGACCCACCGCCGATCAAGTTGATGGTCCAACTCCAACCAACGTCCAATTGCAGAGCGCCTATTGCCTCGGTTCAAGATCTGGTGGGAAATGGGCCGGGCTTGGGCTTGGTGGCCATATACAAAAAAAATGCTCACATATTGAGAAGCTGCTTCACTGGCCCCAAAAGATATCCATTTTGGGTCTGATGAGAGGAAACAGGGAATCCTTTGGTAGTGGGGAAATGGTCGGATTATGATGTTGGTTTTCTTGTATTAACTGATATCGTATCTGCCCATGAATTTCTTTCCCGGACAGCTGAATGTAGTCTTTCAATTTCCAGTTTGTGCATGGAATTATTCATAGGCTTTGTGTGTTTGGACTGTAATGGAAAGGATAAGTTTGCTAACCTATCTTGCAGTTGCTTAGGTTCACTACGGTTACGGTTACCCAGATAGTTCGGTTCGACTCACAAAATTAGGGCATCGGCATAGAAATTGCTTGGATAAAAAATACATCGCACTCGGTTTTGGCTTATTTGATTCTCGTTTGATACATGAATTATCTTGATTTAGGGCTGATTTGATTCTCATTTGTTGCATGAATTTCCTTACTTTAAAAGAATCAAATCAAACAATAAAATGTTACACTTTTTTTATAGTCGAATCTACTTAAGAGTAGGAGCGACAACGATTCGATACATATTGAATTAACTTGAACATAATTGATATTTGTATATTAGAGCAGAACGAATATAATTTGATTCGATTTTAATCTAAAAATAGAAAAGGAAAGGTGGACAGAAAAGATTGGCCAATACTAAGGTGTTGCTATAAAAAGTGCGGCACCGATAACGCAACTTTTCATTGGTCCACATGGTTGTGAGTCTATGACATGGCATTGGGTTGTTTAATTAATTTCAACCAAACCCGAGTACCCAAAGTAACGGAAACCCTGCTCCGTTTGAATGGTTTATTTTCTTTTTCAACTCAATTATATTATAATAGCGCAAGTAATCTTTCATTAATTTTACTGTTCCATACGAAAAATCCGCTAATCCCAAACCCTTTGGAAAACACTGTTCATTATAATTTATTAATTTGAGTTATAACTACCATACATCCCATGACGTTAACTACCATATATTGAATTTTTGCATCATCAATTTCATGAATATCTTTATTGTTAACTTAATAATTAGTAAAGTTCATAACTTAATTGCATTATTAACTGTACCATCAATTTGCATTAAGCAAAGGTTCCGTAAGACAAGGTTGCCAAGCGATTTAGACTGTTGGCCCAATCGAGTAAGTGGGGGTTAATGGTCTGATTGTTTTGACTCGGTTTGACCTATATGAAAAAAATCATTATATCAAATCTCATATAATATATTCTATAACTAATATATATTGAATTTTTGCATCACGAATTTCATGAATACACTTATTATTAACTTAATAATTCGTAAAGCAAGTTCATAACTTATTTGCATTATTAACTATACCATCAATTTGCATTACACAAAGGTTCCGTAAGGCAAGGTTGTCCAACCCAATTTAGCATGTTGGCCCAGTCGAGTAAGTAGATTGAGGGTTAATGGTTTGATTGCTTTGACTCAATTTGACTCGAATATATAAAAGAATATATTATATTATTAAGACATTTATAAATTATATCAATCTCATATAACATATGTGTAATAACATATAACATTAACTTGGATCCAACATATAATGAAAATTCATACACACTCGAATATTCAACTTAGAATTTCAAATAAAGATAGGTTAGGTGAAGGGGAAAAGAGGTGCAATTCGCAAATCAAAAGAAAAAGCGACATTGTGTGACCTCCAACCCTAGAACCTTGATGTTGGTCGACCAGTAGGTGTATGACCCGTTTTACTCAATGGTCGGGATCAATCTGAGTTAAACTGGGGTTCGACCCACGGGTTAACAACCATACAGTAGGTAAGTTAAATTCTATATAATAGTTTAATCAGATGTAATACTTTATGTAACTTGATTTTATTGTTAGACCCAACATTACAGATAACTTATGTGGCACCAATTTATAAAATTTAGGTGAATTAAAAATATAAGACATCAAACTTATAAAATGATAGTTGTTTATTATGTAACAATTAAACAAACTTTTATTGCATTAACTACAATATTTACCACATAAACAATTTGTGTTACGCAAAGGTTTCGTAAGGTAAATTAACTTTTACATAATAGTTTAATCAAATATGATACTTTTTGAAACTTTGGTTTATTATTAGTCCAAAGATATAAAACGTAACACGGTTCCATAAAAGTTATATAAATTAAAAATAGTACGTCAAACTTATGAAAGGATAGTTATTTCTTATGTATCAATTAAATATAACGTGATATGTTTAAGTCTGTAGTAATGATTAAGAAATTTTGTAAATTTTATGAAAGGATAATTATTTATTATGTATCAAATAAAACAATATATTACATAGTCTTCCGTAATATGAGTTTGATTGATTTCAGGGCCTGGCTGCTCTCCAGGATGTAATTATCATTTTGATTGGATCTATATATGTTATCTTTTGACCCAAAAAAAAAGAGTTTGATTGAAAATTTCTTTTTATTAACTAAATGATTTACCATCTCATTAATTTACATTACAAAAAGATTCTATAAGGATTATTTCTAATTAAAATTTGTATATTATTAAAAAAATGATTGACCATCTCATCAAACTCCTTTACACAACGATTTTATAAGATTCACATAGCAATTTGATCAAATGTAATATTTTTCATAATTAAATTATTTTATTAGTAATTAAATTTTTTTAATTATTAACTACAATATCCACCATCCATCAATTTGCATTACACAAATGTATCATAAGGTAATTAACTTTTACATAATAATTAATCAGTGTTACCTTTTCTTAACATGGTGTTATTATTAGAATATACATTAAATAAAATTTACCTAACACCATTCTATAACTTAAATTTTCTTAAATACAATACATAATTTGAAGGAACAATCATCTCTTATGTATCAATAAAACAAGTATTTTACGTAGATTTTACCGCAGCGAAGCGCGGGCCAAAAAACTAGTAACTAAATTAAATTCCAGTGCTTGGTTTGTTTTGAGGAAGAATAAAAAACAGACAAGCAGAGAGTGACCTCAAACGAACCAAAAGCGCACTTCATCGATCTCCCTCTCTGGCGGTCCACTCTAAAATCACTTCCGGCTACTTGTCGACATCTCCAGGGTCTAGTATGGATTTAGGGATTTCGGTGTTGAAGGTCTGTAGGTGGAGTTTCCAAGCCTCGTTGTAAAATATGCAGAGGATGCAATTGAAGACGCCAGGCGAATTCTAGGAGTTAGGCGAACTTAAGGCGAAGTGGTTGGACACAAAGTGATAGGTCTGGAGTTTTTAATAAGGGTTTATCAATCAGCGGCTAGGAGAAGAAGGGAGGTGTTATGGTCCGATGCGGATCCGTTCCAGCAAGAAGAAGAACTGGGGAGGAGAGGGAAAAGACTCTTTTGTTCTGTACATGTGTCTATTCCTGTTTAGTTCTGCAGGCCCTCTTCCCTGATGTGGTTTGGTCGACAGATTGGAGTGATATGCTGGGAGTGGGGCAACTTAGCTTGTGGAACAAGGGACATCAGATTGCAAGCTTATGGGAGGAATGTGGTGCTAGTGTGTGGCGTTCATATGGAGAAAAGGGGGTTAAATGCATCACTTGCCACTTAAGTATAGAGTTTGTTGCAGACTAACCACCTAACTTAATTTTGTTGCAATTAAACTATATAAGTCGAATTACGGTTGCATCTAAACCATAATTCTGGTATCAACATCACAATTTTCGTCCAAAAACTTAACAGAAGGTACCAAACATGAATTATTGTACCGCCATTTTGATTAAAACAATTCCTATATGATCATTTTGCACAAATGCCAAAATTATGTGACCACTTTTTATACTTGCCTTCACCTCTCCCCTCCGCTTCTCCATCTTCATCTGCTCACCACTACCTTCTTCTAAAATACCTACGTTTCCCTCTCTCTTGAATATCTTCTTCCTCTCCTCAGTATGTGAAGGAGATATTGAAGAAGAAGCAAGCTATAGAGCCATCCCTATGCAAAAACTTCAACACACTTTCCTATCTATTTATGGGCAAAACATCAAAAGAACTTGGTCAAAATGTCAATTCAATCACAAGCTTATAATTTGAGCTGCTGAGACCAAAATATGACTCCTTTCTAGCAAGAACAGACATAGTTTAGATTTGAGCTGCGAGGATCTTTGTAAACAACTCTCAAATTGGAATAGAGAGAGATGGAGAGTAAGATGTAAAACGAAGACATAAGGGAGGAATCTGTAGAGCTTCTCGTGCGTTGGTGTAGAAGGAGAGAGCTCAATGATGGAATCATAAGAAGAAAGGTTTATCAAAGAGAACATGAGAGATAGCAAGGCAGGAACCATAATCAATCTAGTCGTCTCTATCTTTATGTTTTTGGGGGCGAGGATAACAAGTTGGTTTGTGAGTGAGGTTTTGATGTCGATTGATGAGAATGCCTAGTGTGGGTTGTGTAATTTGGGGAAAATGTGAGTTGTTGGGCGGTGAGGAACAAAGCTGGGAAAGATTTGATTGAGTCTGAAAATGGGAAAGAAAAAGTGACTTGATTGGCTCTGTTAGCAGAGCTGCAGAGGAGGGTGTTTCAATAAAAAAATTAAAAACAGAGGAGGGTGAGGCGATGCAGGGAGGAGAAGTAGGAGAGAGATGGGGGAATGGAAACTTATGTAAAAATGGTCATATAAGTTTGGCATTTGTGCAAAATAGTTATATAGGTTTTATTTTTTTCAAAATGATTATACAATAATTTCTGTTTGGTACACTCTGTTAAATTTTAGACGGAAATTTTAATTTTGCAACTATAATTTGATTTATATAGTTTAGTTGCAACAATAATTCAACTTATGTGATTAAGTTGCAACAAAAATAAGTTAAGTGGTTAGTATGCAACATATGTTGTACTTAAGTGGTAGGTGATGCATTTAACCCGGAGAAAAGGGGGATGTAAAGTGTTTGTTGGCTCAAGTAGGAGCGCTGAAGAGCTAATTGTGCACCTGAAGATAGAGATTCGTCACTACAGTCTAGGAAACGCTGTGTTTGCTCAGGATTTTGCCAACTCAGGATTTTCAAGATATATGTGTTTGCTCAGGATATGCCAGCGGTGAATTCTTGTTCTGCTAACCAGC